TGGAAAGGATAACCGGCTCCATGAATGTCTCTGATTGCCGCCGTAGAAGACATGGTCATGAAGTTACTTGGGAGTTTGGTACGAGAGACGTCCCCAGCGTCACTCGGCGTTTTTTACTTTGAGGGCGCACCTCTAGCCTTTACACAACCAAGTACGAACTGAAAGGCAGCAGGGAGTAATCCCTCGCCTCGGAAGTGAGGGAATCAATGACTTAAGTTTTAAAAGGCCACCCACATCGATCTTTGTCACGACACCGTCATTGGGCTCATGCGGCTTTTAGACAGGAGTCAGGTGACCAGCGTAAAACCCATCACACCCTGGTAGTGCCGCCGAGGATAATGCATACATCTCGGAACTAGACGGGAACTTAAGGTAAGTCTGTGCAGAGACCGCGAAATCTGGTGGACTCAGCGCGCGTCAGAGATGGAACGTGCTGCTGCTATCAAAAATTCTCGTACTCTGTTCCATCTCATCCGGATCACCCTCGGGTTAAGCAAAGCTGAATGCTACTAGGCGACGTATAAGTGGGAAAGTGTTACTTCCCGATTGTTCAAACCGAAGATGAGGCTTAACCTAAGGCCCTTGACTTAATCAAACTTACAATGCATCGGGATGGAGCTGACAATCCGTAATGCATTAGAGATCGGTGTCCAGTACGTCAGATCATACACTTCCTAGACGGCTGAAATGCCTGAGGTGCCCCATACACCAAATCAATCATACTCAAATCCTGATCAAGTCACAACTAGGGGAGTGTAGTTGTGGTCCTTATGCTTATTCTTGATTGGTTTGTAGTCCGCCTTTTTCGTCAACTTCTGAACTACCGTTGGTCATAACTCCGGGTTTCGGTTTTGGTCCTCTCGTTTTGATATGAACACGTCTCCCCACTTGAAGACGGAATATAGCTTCCTCGATTGAAGCTGTTCGAGACCACTGACCCTCTAGGAGCGTCTCATAAGTTGCGAGGAATGGGTATCCAGTCACGGCCTAAGAAACCCACCCCTGATCACACCGAGACTTTCTCAGAAAATCTTTGCTAGTGCAGCTTTTCAGGTGAAATGAGTACTCACAGTTGAAGGTGATCAGCATACTCATCGTTTTGTTATGATTAATATGATGAACAAAGACACGAATTTTCTCTATTTTCCATGATAAACGCACGATTTTATGTTCTTATGTATATAAATGAACATGCTTTCAGTTGCAACAATTTTGAATCACCAACCATCTTACTCAAACTGCATAAAAAAGGTTATCCATTAAATAATACTTTCCATTTCCGGGAAACGAACGGTGATGCACGATATTGTGACCCAAGGAATGTATTCTCAGAAATGACCACAACTGGGAAACAAGCATAGTACCAAGGCAAAAACAGTGCGAATAACAGCGGAAAACTAAGAAAGAACATTCACAAAAAATAACAATATTCTGTGTTTCACCATGAACTTTTTTATACTTTATTTGCTTGGTTTGTTTATTGAGCATAGACCTTACAGTATTTGCGCTACTGATTTCATTCCTGATCTATCTCTTAACATCTTAACCCAGTGATAATCTTCATCCCTTGGACCTTAAACTGGAAGGCACAAAGAACCGACTGCAGCCAAAACTAAAATTAACTTCTTCATAACCGCAAGCCAAGTTATGGTCTGATCGTTTCTTTGCCTCTTTCAGCCTTACCCCGCATCGTATAAGAGCGTCACAGGTTGTCGAAAGGTACTATAAATTTTACTGTTTGCGATGTGATATCCCCATTCACCTCTATTTGTTAACAAGCTCCCGAGACACCTAAAGCTTCCAACCATCTCCAGCTGACCGCTACCCGAGTTGCATACAGGCATAAGTTCCTGCCAGTATTGAACGAGTAGTTCGCATTTGTTAAGTACACGGCATACTTAAATACCTCAACCAAGCGATTTATAGCATGTGGTAATTCCAATGCATTACTCGTTAAGAATATTGTATCATATTATTTTCACACACATCTGAGTTCAGACTGTACCAAACGATCATCTTTATAAAATGAAAGACCCATGACTTGCTGGGGGCCCCGATACTGCTGGGTTGCCCAGGCAAAAGGTGAATTTTATTCCGGAAGTCTTCGGCTAACTAAAGCCTGACCCACAAAGGAGTGGGGCGGCGTGTGAAAACCGCAATCCATTGGGAACCGGTGTCCAGTCCATGGGATCATGTGCCCTTTGGACGGGGCAAGCGTTCAAGGTGCCCAATACACCTCGATACCCAATCGAGCCGGTGACCAATACCACCACCAGGAAGCCCTGGGTTAGCGTGGTTCATGCACCTCTTCTTGGTTGGTTTGGAATCAGGGTTTTTGGCCAACTCCCCTAGATG